GTGGAAGCAAAACATCAATAAACCACGTTGCCCTTTGAATACCAGCAGCAAACAGAGAGAAACCCAAAGAAGGCTGAGCAAATGAACCCGTTCTCTCATGAAGGGCCATGTGTAAACCGCTGGGTTTGGTTGTTTTTTTTTTTTTTTTTTTCAAGGCAAGAGCAGCGAGTGGGAGGAGCAGTTAATGTTTTCCCAGCAAAGGGAAACTCCCGGCTGGAAATAGCGCTGCGCCCTGGAAACGGAGCCCTTCAGCCAAACAGGGCAGCGTTTGTGCAGCTCTATCTCAGCCGGGTGATGCTCAGCAGGGTAGAGGCTCTGTGCTGGAGAACTGCTTCCACCAAAGCCCTGTGTGAGGACACAGGGAAGCTGGGGCTGAGCTCAGCCTCACGGCGTGTGCCCGGTTTGGGTGTTTTTTTTTTTTTTTTTTGCAAGGCAAGAGCAGCGAGTGGGAGGAGCAGTTAATGTTTTCCCAGCAAAGGGAAACTCCCGGCTGGAAATAGCGCTGCGCCCTGGAAACGGAGCCCTTCAGCCAAACAGGGCAGCGTTTGTGCAGCTCTATCTCAGCCGGGTGATGCTCAGCAGGGTAGAGGCTCTGTGCTGGAGAACTGCTTCCACCAAAGCCCTGTGTGAGGACACAGGGAAGCTGGGGCTGAGCTCAGCCTCACGGCGTGTGCCCACTTCGGTGGGCTCCCCGGGAAGCCCTCCTCATGCCCTCCCCACTGCCCTTCCTTCTGGTTGCATTCAGCCCACAAGCATCCAGGAAAGGGGCAGGAGGAAAGTGGAGTCCTCTGGCTGGCAAAAAAAAAGCTGGGATGGGATGGGAATAGGGGGGCTTTGGGGAGATGTGCAGGAAAAGGCTTGAAAGAGGCTTAAAGAGCAGCTCCCTGCTGAAGTGGGGAGGAAGAGAAGATCCCCTTTGCTGACACAAATAGCACCAAAAGCACTGGGCTTATCTGGGAGCCAGCTCGACTCTAGCAGGGACCACTAAACCCACTGTTGGGAATGTGAAATGTTCTCTCCCTTCCTGCTCTGAGCCTCCCAGCACTGGAAGGGAAGGAGCTGCCTCCAGCAGCCGGGGCTAAAGGACAGCATGGCTCCCTCTTAGATAAATAATGGCGTATGCAAGGGTTTGAGGGGCTCTGTTGCTGCCTGTTCGCTCTTTTTAAGCCTGATAACACAGTTTACTGCTGGCTTCCTGCCTGCAGAGCTGTCCCAGAGATGTTTTGGATTTGCACAGGGTAGTGGTACCTCACCATGGGGAGGTGAAAGCCATTGGGCAACAAGGCTGTTGAGATCTGGAGTCCCAAGGCTGCTGCCTCTTGGCCAGGCAGCACAGCTCAGGGAGCCAAGGTCCTTGCCAGTGTCCCCAGAGCCTGGACTGAGTCTGCTCAGACCATGTAAATTTTTCCCTGTGTGCCTGGTGCCTCGGTTTCCCATCAAAAGCAGGATGCTCGGCTCTGCCAGGCAGGCTGGGGCTCCATTCCCAGCAGCAAGGAGTTCCTACAGTCACAGCCTTGTGCTTCCCACCCACTGTGAGCTCTTCCCATCCCCAGTGAGCTCTGCCCACGCAGTGCGGGCACTGGAGCTGGGGGGCACGCTGCTCCCACACCGTGCACGAGATGGTGAGGTGTTTGTGCCCGAGGTATCGGAGCCATTTCATTGCAAACACGGATGGAGCTCAGATAGCATTTATTTCCAAAATAGTGGCTCCAGTGCCCCAGCCCTTGGTATGATCCTGCGTGCACAAGTCAGGTGCTGGCAGTGCCAGGAAAGAAACCCCACCAGGGAAACCCCAGACCTGCAGGAATAATTCTCTCAGCTATTTCAGCATCTTCTCCCAGCTGGGCCATGGGCAAGCTGGAGGGGCAGGAAGGGATGGGTCAGAGAGAAGCTGCCCCCTGAGCTCTGCCCTGTGCTCCAGGAGCCGCAGGTGTCTGTGCCACGGCTCAGAGCAGCTCGGTCTCTGGCCTGGGTTGCAGTTTTCCTTATATCACTCTCAGTGATGTTCGACATTTGTTCGTTCCGGCTGTAAAACCTCTCCTGGCTCGATACCAGATATTTCCTCACCTCAGTGCCTCAGCCACAGCAGAGCTAACTGTTGGAGTGAGTGCAGCTCAGATGCCTTGGCCTTCATGATTAATGGGCTCTTTATTCCAAGCGTGCTGCATGGCAGGAGGGGTGGGAGATCATGTCCAGCTGGACAGCCCCCCAGAGACACCCCTTGCTGTCACAGAGAGAGGTTGGTGGCCCATACCCTGCTGTGCAAGGCCTGTGTTCAGAGGAGAGTGGCTCTAAAGAGGAGTGGGGACTCAAGCGGTGGCCATAGCAAAGCAAAAGCTGGTGAGGGGTCTGGAGCACAAGTCTTACGAGGAGAGGCTGAGGGAACTGGGGTTGCTCTGTCTGGGGAAGAGGAGACTGAGGGGAGACCTTATCGCTCTGTACAAGTACCTGAAAGGAGGCTGTAGAGAGATGGGGGTCGGTCTCTTCTCCCAAGTTACAGATGATAGGACAAGGGGTAATGGCTTCAAGTTACGCCAGGGGAAGTTCAGGTTGGATATTAGGAAACATTTCTTTACTGAAAGGGTTATCCAGCATTGGAATGGGCTGCCCAGGGAGGTGGTGGAGTCACCATCCCTGGAGGTATTTAAGAAATGTGTAGACATGGTTCTTCAGGGCATGCTCTAGTGCCCAAGATTACTGGTTTGTGGTGGGGTGCTGTGTGGGTGGGTGATGGTTTTTGGTTTGGTGGTTGTTGTTGTGTGTTTAGGTGGTGGGTGGTGGTTTGTGTTTTTTGTGGGTTTTTTTTTTTTTGTTGGTTGGACTCAATGATCTCTGAGGTCCCTTCCAACCACTACGATTCTGTGATTCTGTGATTCTGTGAAAATCCTGATTTTCTGGCCCGGGCCTGGGCATTTGGGATGAGGAGTGCAGGGAGCAGGAGGATTTCCACCCATTGTGTTCACATTAGAGCAGCACTCTGAGCACCAGCTGAGATGACACCACTTCTGTGCACGCACAAATGCCGTGAGCTCCCCTTTTCCTGTGGGACTCGCTCTCCTCGCAGGTCAGGCTGGCAAACGGGAGAAGGACAAAGCCTCCGGTGACTTTCCCCGTGCCTGGAGGATCCCACCCCGGGGCCAGCAACCAGCTCCCAACATTTCTGTTTGCTGAAGGGCTGTGAGCACAGCTGAGAGGAGCGAAGGAGTTGGTTCACTTTGGGACAGAGCTTGCTGAAAACCCCAGAAATAGGAACACTTGAACCAGTTCCCACAGCCAGGTTAGTGCCCGAGGGTGAGGGTGGCATCGTGTATGGAGAAGGAGCCTCCGAGCTCGCCTGCCTGTCGCTCTGCTTCCAGCAGCACTTCGTTTTGCAGAGCTGTGTTTATTTTTCACTCCCGGGGAGGTGACAGTCTCTTGTCTAACTTGCCCAAGAAACCTCTAACAGGGTGCCAACAGGGTTTGGGACACAAAGAAGTGATGTTCCCAGGAAAACAGCTTCCTCTTCATTTCGGTGCCTGCTCAGAATTCTCGCTGACCCGGTGGTGGAATCGTTGGGGGCTCTTTTTGGGGCGATTTGGGGGCCGATTGGGTGAGCGGGCAGCGAGTGCCCAGGGGACACCCACCCTCCGCCTGCCCCGGGAGAGCTTTGCCACCCCGGGGGCACCGTCCCCGTTGCTGCTGTCGGAGCTTCCCCCCCTTCCAGCCCCTCTCCGCGCAGGATCCATCCCTTAACGGCCACAAAGGCCACCCACCCCGCCCC